TTAATACAACCTAGGAATAAATGGTCTAATTATATTTTTTATTTTTATAACATGATGGTTTTTAACATAAATTTAGTAATATTAATTTAAAGATAGGATTCATACAATGAGGCCATTTGAAATCTCTCTTTCTGCTAACAATCTTTTCTACTAATTTATTCTAGAAACCTAAAAAATTAAAGAAAATTGGTACGCATTCTAATAATTTATATATTGATAACCAAATCTTTTATTTTATTTATTAATTTTTGTATTAGAAATCATGTAGTGTACTATTTTTCTTACAGTTGTCAATAATACATTTTAAATTAGATGATATTATAAAATATTTTGGATTTCTTATTATTTATATAATAAAATAATTATAAAATATTGTTGGTATAAAATATTATAGTCAGTTAGGTTGTAATAATTTGGGTTTTTTTAGCGGATTAGGATTTTCTGTCAATTCGAGATTTCAGTAGCCAAATTTTCATCGATTTAGTCAACTCTTTATTGTAATCCATATATAATTATATAGTTAATCCATGATAATTCTATTATTTCTTTTGTGTGATATAAATTTAATGGTCAACATAAGTTCATATAGGGAAAGAGTATCTCAATATTCATAAATTGATGAAAAAAATAAAAGTTAATAATGTAGTACCCTCATTTCTTATTGAATTCCTAAAAAACAATATTTATAATGAATTTTAATAATTTTTTCAAATTTTTTTAAAGCTCTAATCCGATCGATTCAGCCTATTTTCGATCTGAATCGTCGATTCACCGATTCGAATCGATTTTTAATGTGTCTTCCCCGGGTCGCCTATCCACTTTTTAAACCATTGGATTTCGATTTTTAAGGGCCCTCGCCGGGTCACCAATTCACTTTATAAACCATTGGACTATAGTATGCTTACTATGGTACTCCATAACTATGACTCGTAGAAAGGAGGCTCGTAGAAATGTGGGTTTCATATCTCTGTGATTACGATTCAGATAGATAAGGAGGAGGAAGGTAGAGAAGAAAATAGGACTGGGCTCATAGCCTTTATCGAGAGAGAAAATGGAAGAAGGAAGAAGAAAGACGTCATGGCCTACACGAACCCTAATGGAAGAGGCCTAACTGATTTTTAGAGAGAGACAAGGAAGATGGGATGCTGAATTGGGATAGTTCGAAGAGGGGTTTTCTCTGATTTGGGATGTTGTTTGAGAGAAAGCCCTAACTATATTGATTTGTGAAGAAGCCCTAACTGATTTTGACGCAGAGAAAAGGAAGAGGGTTTTTCATTTTATTGGGGAAACAACCAGCAGAGCTGAAGGATTAGGTTTGAGGAATTAATCCTTACAATTGCTCCTGTAAGTTTACAATCTACACTATATTGTTTATCTTTGTTATCACATAATCCAAAGTAAAATATTGATTACTTGGTCCTGTAGTCACACTCTCTGCTTCTCATTCATCAGTAAAAGACTATGTTTTGAGCTTTAATTTGTGCCATAAGCAGTATTTTTATAAAACAATTATCACAAATAATCGCAGAAATCTGCATGTATATGATTTTCTTTACACATGATTTACTTTACAAAATGATTTGCTATGAACAGTATTTCATTTACACAATGATTTTCCATAATAACAACTGAAATCTGCATCTATTTGTTTAAGTTTTTTAAAAAAGAGGAAAAAAATTCATACCTTGAATCTGCAACTGTGGCTTTGAAGAACACAGTGGGGATAAAAATTTATATTTTAAGTTTTTTTTGAAATAATATTTCTTTTTCAAGAGCATGAAAGTAGCAATGACTCCAATACACAAAACAGGAAAAAAAAAAAATCTCTTTCAAAAAAATGATGGGTAAAAAAGATACGATTTGTTTGCCTGATTTAAATTGTATTATGAAAAAAACACGTTTTAAACGTTTTTATGAAAACTACATGATTTTCCCGACCTTTCCAAAAAGTCTGTTTAAAACTGCTTCCATAAGAACTCCGATTTTTCGAAAGAATCCCCAATTAAACGAACGATTCACTAGCTATGGCTGTGCCACCACAACCCCAATCCCTCTCTCACTTGTCACTACCGCTCTCTCTCTCTCTCGCTCTCTCCAAGCTATGTCGAGCGGATTCTACGTTTACCTAGGTTTTAATGGAGTTATTTTTGTAAAGAGAGAATGTGGGTTTCGGGGTTCACTCTATCTAACCTTGACAATTTTTCATAATTATAATTGTCAAGTCCGATGATCAATTTGAAGGTTTTCGATGGAAAAATTACTATTTATAGTGAATTTTTATGTGTGGCTTTACTTATAGGAAAATGGTTTGATAGGGATGCAGCCCTATCAAAATAAGTAAACCCTCAACTCAAAACTCATTCAACATTGCCACTCTAGCTTTGAAAAATATTCAAATTAATCATCTCCGCTTTGACCACTATGGTTGTAAAAAATTAGCATGAAAAATAGTACATATTGTAACAAATTATCTAAACTGATCATTTCACCTTAAAAATATATGTTTACGGATCAACAAGATCTGTATCATTTTTTAGCTTCAAATTTCGTAGTTGGTGTTGAAAATTGATTTTAAACTATCATCAAGATTTTCGATTGTCCAAACTGCTTTTCATATAGGGATTCAAAGTGAGCCTTTATTTTATTTTCACAAAACCTATGCCTTATAGAAACTCCATCTTTAGTCCTGCAGCCCTATCAAAATATATTCCAATGTTTTAAACTTGAAGGGTTGAAACCTGAAACTGTTGAATAACTCATTTGTGTTCGGGATAATCCCTCCAAAAACATTTGGACGGTCAGGAGTCCTCCTCCAAACCCCCGCCCCATGTCCTTGCATTTTATGCTTCCCACTCTGCTCTTGCTCTCTCTACTTTCCCTCTCTTGTTCTGAGATCTCTATTCTCTAAAGTGGGAGAGGAAGAAGAAGAAGATATGCAAGAATAAATCGTATTCTCGAAGAGACTACTGATGTTTTCCTCTTGAAAAGCAGATGACGAGGGATTTTTAAGTCAATAGTTAGAGAGATAAAGGGGTTTCCATTTGACGATGAAGACCTTTAAGGATTGGATTTCGTGGAAATCTTTGCTCTCTGCAAGACCACTTTCAGGCAGCGATAGCTTCCTTGAAGAGGACGAGACCCGTAGGCACGAAGATGTCGATGTTGCAGGTCTGATTTTTTTACTACCGTTTTCTATTGCTTGCTAAATAGATTTCGAATTGAGATTATGAGAAAACCCATGTTTAGTTTGTTCTTTTTTTAAAGTGGGGTTGGAACCTTATGGATTAGAGCTTTGTCTGTTGCGCCCTAATTACAGAACGAATAACCCAATGCTCAACCTAATTTTAGCCTCCATTTCAATTCTTACTTCTGTTTTTTGTTTATCTGATTGGTTATCTGCCATTGGTTTTGGTGAATTATAGTCTAGAAAGACTGAGACGTCAGTATTCATTTTTTTTTCTGGTTTCCGGTTCTGTGGCGATGTGTGAGTTTTCTTTGGTTCCTTATCAGCTAAGGAGGTAATTGGTTTTCTTGGCTTATGCATGATTTGATTTTCTCTCGACATTTGGCTCGTCTTGTACTTTGCCTTGACACTCATGTTTAGCATAAAAAAGGGGGTAGAAGAAAAAAAAAAAGGGCATTGGATGAACTTCAATGTTTTATAGGTTCAACTTCTGAGGTAGTTATATGTTTGTTTTTACTTATATCCATATGTTGAGGAAGAAAATGCAGCAGCTGTTCCTTTTGTTGAAGAAGGGGTAGATAGGATAACTTTGTTTGTTTCATCACTCTTTATGGAACATTAGCTGTTACCATGGCACTAGAAGTTTCAAAAAAAAAAGGGAGAGAGGTCACCATGACACTCTTGGTACCTGTACTGATTGTAACACGTTTTTGGATTTAACAAAAGCTTTGTTAATAATTAGAAATAAAAAGGAAAAATTCTTGTTAGTGTAAAGTCGATAAGTTACACAAGATTTGAAACAGTGTTAAGGGACTTAGGTCAAGCGACTCGAACTCGCTTCTTGCTGAGCCCAGTATTCGGGTAAAACTCGCGGTTAAATTGTAAAAGCCAATATTTGAATATTTTATACGTAATTTTAATTTTTGATGATGATTTTGGGTGTTCTTGTCATGTGCCCTATTTTATATTTTTCTTTTTGGATATTTTTAAAATCTCTTTGATTTTTACTATTTTATTTTATTTTATTTTATTTTTAATTGTTTTTTTCTTTTGCAAGGTTTTCTTGAAAAATAATCGTTGTCCTTTCTTGAATAAGTTAATCTATTTTGTTCTAACAAACTCAAGTTATCTTCGAAATCTTTGAAAATATTTTCTTGAGAGAAAGTTTACTGGAATCATCCACTCTAGGTAGCGATTCCAAGTTTCCTTGTAAGAATCACCGTAGAACTCGACACAGAAGTTAGGAGTCACGATTCCACGTTTTTGAATCTCATTTTGATGTCCTTGGAATCGAGATTCCAGCCCATCAAATTTTGTGATTCGCAGGTGCATAAGACTTTGATTCAACTTATATAAGGCCTTGCCAATTTTTAGGAATAGCGATTAGAGATATTCGGAATCTAGATCCACATTCATAAAAAAAAAATCAAAATGTTTGCTAAAATTCTATGGAATGCTTGAAATTTTTAAATATTATTTGAAATGTTTTGGTAGGTAAAATTTATTAGTAATTAATATATGATGGTATCTAAAAACTCTATGGGTGTCAACAAACTCTAGTTTACATCATTCCTAAATTTGGAGAATTTGTAACAAATGTCTTATTTTTCAAAAATGTATTATTAATAAATAAAGTAATTTTATTTTATTAACTATAAGAACGCACTTAATTAAGGGTACTCAACCTTTTTTCTAATATTTGTGGAGAATTATGATAAGGGACTCAATATATCGACTCCAATGCTTGGGGTGGACACTCAACGACATCAATTCTAATAAAAAAGGAGTCTTCGGTAAGTGTACTCAATATATAGAATCTAATACTAAGGAATTCTTGCTTATAGAAAAATTAAAACCTTAAATGTTTTGCGTTTTGGAACTCGTTCCTTGATAATTTCTGGCTTGGTTCCCAATGATTTGGGGTGTGATTCCCGTAAGTTAGGAATCTTGATTTCAAGTTTATGAGACCGCAATTCCAACAAGGTAGGAATCTTGATTCCTATTGAATTGGAGCACGATTCCCAAATGATTGGAATCGCGCTTCATGCGATATGCATTGTATGAGCAGCGATTCTGACTATGGGCATCATCTAGCTACCTGTGATTCTGTGATTATTCTGTGATTCTGATTCATGAAATGATTCGGTATTGCAGAAGTTTCCAACAACTATAAACATAACTAGGATTTATTGGGAAAAGGCTATGATGATGATGATAAAAATAACTACGATTTGTGTATCGCATGTGAGTCCATGATCAGTGGAACTCATACGGTCCCACTTGATGATGATGTGACCACATGTGAGTCTAAAAATGTCTCTCGTGTGTCCTACTCATGCTAGAAGCCAAAAAATAGCGAATAAAATATGCAGAGGACAAAACAGACCATTTAATTCCAAAATGGTTATCTGGTCAATTAAAAATATACTTTTACTTGTGTCCTCCACTATTTCAAGGGTATAAAAAATATTGTTTTAATCTCAATATTTGGAAGAGAAATTCTCAACTTACCTCTTTAAAGACAAATATAATGCTCTTAAAATAAATTATTGGAAACCTTGAAGGAGTAGACATGTCGTGGGGTAATGCATCAACTTATAACTAGGCACTCCATTTTTCAAACTAATCCAACATGGCCCATGAACCTGATTGGTCCATGAATGTTAAGCCAATGAGTAGATTATGGTCATATGGATTATTGGTGTCCCCCAAGGACAAAAGATGTCAGTCCTAGACATGTGCACAGAGACCAACACTTCCACTAAAATTAGAGTTTCTCTTTATCTTTTATTAATAAGAATTTGGTTTACAAGGATTAATGCATGAGCTAAGGCCTTTAATGGCCAGAAAATCCCAACGATTGTTTATCTCATGGCTTTGTCAATTGATATCTTTGCATGGCTAGGTTGCTACCCACTCCTTAGTGATTGGTAAAATTTTATTGCACCCTAAGCTGCTGCATTGGATTTTATGCCAACCAATCATGTAATAATTTAGAAGGTTGGAAATGTCCATCAGGAAACATGGAAGTATTCTTTACTACTACATGTTAGAACTAATTATGAGTATTTTATACTGATGCTCTCAGAAATCTATTGAAACGTTCATAAACGTTCATTGAATCTGATAGGTTAAGATATTGAATTTCTATTTATGTTAATGAATGTCTTACTAGTGCTAATGTGTTATATGCAATCACATGTCGTTTCTTCCTGTAATGATTTCAACCTCATTGTGGTCTCCATAATGCTTAGCATCTTCATCTTGTACTATAATTTCTCTGATATATATAGTGGGGAAATATGTATGTCATTCATCAACAAAAAAACAATTTTGGTGAATGAAGATATGCATATGGTAAGTCCTTATAATGGCTTCTCAAGTATCATCTATCGGGAAATGAAAAAAAAAAAAACTCAAGGAGTGTTCTGCAGTCCCTTCCATAGGCTCTTGATTACATGCCCAAATTTCTTGGAACTTTTCCTTTATGTGAGAATGAAAGTATTTAGATGGTATGTGAGAAACAACTGACCAGTGGGTTATGACTGACCATTGAAATGATGGACTGTGATGGCGAGAGAGTGGCGCCATTAGAACATGAGATTACCACTGTGGTCTATAACACTCTCTCACAATCAAACTCCATCATTTCAGTGGACTATGATGATCTAATGTATTATTGTTGTCTCATAGCCCATTGGATTATTTGATACTTTCCTTTCTGTAAATTAGAGTCTCTGATATGATCTTGCTTTGTTTTGAACTTATTTCTCATCGACTTTTTAAGCTTCAGGAACTCCCCCTGGTTCATCAGGGACTGCATCTACAACTTCTGCTTGTCCTGCTAATGGCATCCAATCCAGCGCATCTTGCCCCTATTTTCCACCTGTGGTGATGGAGGATTGTCATTCTTCCCCCCACTATCCTGATGGTAAAAGCAGTGACATATTGGAAAAACTTGATGCACTTCAAGTAAACTTTTTGCGCCTTGTTCATAGACTGGGGCAATCATCACAGAATCTTGTGGTTGCACAGGTCTTGTACAGATTAGAACTCACTAAGCAAATAAGAGCCAGTGATTCCAATGCCCGAAGTGTTGGTCTTAGCATAGATAGAGTTAAAACAATAGCAAGGGAGCAAGAGACAGCTGGACAAGGTGGCAGTGAGCTAGACTTTTCTATTAACGTTCTTCTTTTGGGAAAAACAGGGGTTGGCAAGAGTGCAACTATAAATTCCATTTTCAATCAAGCAAAGGTATTTACTGATGCTTTCCAGCCTGCCACCGAAGAGATTCAAGAAATAATTGGCACTGTTATGGGTGTTAAGGTTAAGGTTATCGATACCCCCGGTCTTCTTCCTTCACCTTCTGACCAACGACTAAATCGTAGAAACATGCATACTGTGAAAAGGTTCATTAGAAATTCACCGCCAGATATTGTTCTCTATTTCGATCGGCTCGATGTTATAAACATGGGTTACAGTGACGTCCCTTTACTCAAGCTTATCACAGAGACTTTTGGGTCTGCTATTTGGTTCAATACTATCATTGTTTTAACCCATTCTTCGTCAGCTCTTCCGGAAGGACCAGATGGGACTTCATTAGGTTACGAAGCATTTGTTACCCAGTGCAAGAATATAATGCAGCATCATATACACCAAGCTGCAGCTGACATGAGGCTCAGGAATCCCTTGTTACTTGTAGAGAATCATCCTCTGTGTATAAGAAATAGGGAAAGGGAGAAAGTTCTCCCAAATGGTCAAGCTTGGAGGTCCCAATTCTTGCTTTTATGCATCTCCTCTAAGGTCTTAAACGATGCAAATGCCCTATTGAAGTTTCAAGATGTTGTTCATGGGAAGCAAAACAATCAGAGACGGCCATCTTTGCCTCATCTCCTCTCATTCTTTCTTCAACCCTGTTCTGCACCAAATGCATCCGATTTAATGTTGATTGATGAAGTGGGGGAAGAGGTGTCTTATTTGGAATCTGAAGATGAATATGATAAGTTACCTCCCATTCGCATTTTATCTAAAGGCCAGTTTAAAAGATTGAGCAAAGCTCAGAAGGAGGATTATCTAGATGAACTTGATTATCGAGAAACATTGTATCTGAAAAAGCAGTTGAAAGAAGAGCTTGGAAAATGCAGAGATGGCTCAAGTATCAATGGCAAAGATGGGCACAATGAAGGCGAACCCCCTCCAGACACAGTACCTTTGCCAGATATGGCCATGCCGTTAAGTTTTGATTCGGCTTGCCCCACTTATAGATATCGCTCCCTTGAATATGGCAATAAGTGGCTTGTGAGGCCTGTTCTTGACCCACATGGATGGGATCAAGAAATTGGGTTCGATGGGGTAAATTTGGAGGCATCTTTTCCAATAGTAAAGAATCTCAATACCTCTCTAAACAGTCAATTGAGTAAGGACAAGCAAGACTGCAATTTTCAGATGGAGTGTGCAGCCACACACATTGACGAGAAAGGCCCCTCTTATTATACTGGCCTCGATGTTCAAAATCTTGGCAGAGGTCTCGCATGTACAGCTCGTGGGCACATGCAATTGAAAACCCATAAATATAATAAGGCTGGATGTGGGTTTTTGATGGGATCCATAGGGAGTAATGTATATGTTGGTGCAAAGCTTGAGGACACCATAGCTAAGAAGCGATGGAAGCTTGTAGTTGACACTGGGGGTATGGCAAGCCAAGGGGATATGACATTTGGGGGAAGATTAGAGGGATCGTTAAGGGGCAAAGACTATCCAGTTAGAAGGGATCAAGCAAGTGTCTCTCTTACCATGCTTTCGTGCAACAAAGAGGTGCTTCTTGAAGGCGGCCTATTGGTCCGATTTCGGCCAGCTCGTGGTACTAATATGGCTATACAAGCAAATGTGAATCACAAGAAAAGTGGTCAGATTTGCATAAAGGCCAATAGCTCTGAACACATTCAGATTGCATTGATTGCTATTATTCCAATTGTAAGGGCTCTTTTTAGAAGAAGAGCGATACAGCATGATCCTCCTGTAACTGATCGATGAGCTTTTTTGGGGCTACTAATTTGTGCTTTTCTATTGTGAGGGCTTCATTTAAGACATTTCCATCCTGTATTTGTGTTTCTTCTGGAGTAATTACCCTGTGAAGCGGCGGTTTGGATTAAATAAAGATGGCATTCTGCAGCAGTAAATGTGGGCAGCAGAATAGACTTAGAAATGTATATAGCAAGTTATGGTTAGCCAAACAAAAAAGTTGTGCTCCAATTGTTGAGAATGAATGACTCGGGGAACTTTGTGGTATGAAATGATAATTACATTGGCCAAAGTTCATGCACAGTTAATCGTGTACCGCAATTGTCCTTTGGCTGGTCATAAATACAGTATCTTGGCATTAATTTGGTATTCTTTTCCCTTTGTGAAAACCCTGATGGATGAAGATCAAATAGCTTTTGCCTTCAAAATTTTGGTACGAGTTTCATGGAAGAAGCATCATCTTCGTGATCACAATTACTACTTAAAAAATTGTGGTCATATTCAGAAGGGTCTGGTTTTGGTGAAGTTCGGGTTCACTCTGGCTGCTACAACCACACCTCAAACCCTAGTTTTTTGATGGATTAAGGACCTCAAAAACTTTCCAAACAACTTTTTAAGTCAACTTTTTGTAACTGGGAGGTTTCTTTGGAGTGGCTGAAAGGATCTAGATTTGACCAACCTAGTGTTCGTGTCCGTGGAAATGGACTATCCAAATCAAATGGTGAGATGGCAATCAAGATGAAACATTTTTAAGGTTCTTAACTCCTTTCTTTGAAATTGTTTTCGGAGCATGGGAGAATGGATTTGCAGTATTTTGGGTAGCTACTCATCCAAAATCCTAGCCAAATGAAGTTCTTATGGGTACCCTTGCACTTTTACAAAAAATCGTTCAGTTTCTGAAATAGGTCTTGGATAAAATATTTGTGCAATGTGCATAAATTTGCAAATAACTAACACTCTGTTAGTGTGAAATTGAATGGTATAATGGAATGGAAACGCCTGCTAATTGTGTTATTTCGTTTTCTATTTTCTTGTTAGAATAAGGCCAGAAATTTGTGACTTTGAATGAAGTAGCAATGACAGCTCAAATACACATTACTTGCAAACTTAGAAGATTTGTATTTCACACTCAAATATATTTGGGAGAAGTTTATAAGGAACCTAGGCTCTAAACAATCAAATCATATCCTACCTCAAAACGTTCACTAGAAGATGTTGTTTTGATGTATACATATCATCAAATTGATCATCTTGACATCAAGATTCATGGACATGAGAATAAAATGGATTTTAAGTTTTGAAAATAGTGCATCTTGTAAAGTATTTTTGGACCGTCAATTTTTAAGATTTTTAAGTTTCTATAGATTTGCTCGATCTACATTATTTTTTAAGTTTTTATAAATTTGCTCGATCTACATTATTTTTTAATCTTTAAATATTATAACTAAATATGAAAATACAATTTAAGGCTATCACAAAACATTCCAGTATCGAAACCATATTTTTCGACATTATTTGAAGGTGGGTATATATAGGGTGCGGTTTGTATAGAGCTGAGGCTCTAAATATATTTTTATCTTTAGTTATATAATTTAAAGCTTCAAAAGTGTAGATCGAGTGGATGAAAACTTGAAAATTTTAAAAATTGATGGTCCAAAATTTTTTTCTTTTTTATGAGTTACTTTTAAAATATTTTTATTGAATGTCTCTTGATGAGAAGGGTAAAAGCCATTCACCTAGAAAATTCGTTTGGAACACAAGATCAACTTCATCAATTCCCGTGCTCTAACCTTCTTTTTAAGGACAAGTAGTTAACTCCCCAAGAGTACCAAGTTTTGCAGGGCGATGGAGTTGGACTGTATATGACAGTGCTTTCTAGAACTAACTAGCAGGGATGGAGTTGGATACATCCCAAAGACCTAGTACTTTCTAGAATTATCGAGCAAACTTTTTTAAGGAGCCCTTTCTTTAACAGTTACTATGAATTTCATTCACTAGAAGAAGATTACAAGGAAGGATCAAAAAAAAAGGGGCGGAACTACCAACAATGATTGGTGTACACCACCTTTTGCTAATACATCAACTTCAGCATTAGCCTCCCTAAAATAATAAGCTAACTCAAAAGATCCACTAGTTAAACAAAAATAATTTCATAAAAAAAAAATGATATTTAATCCCCACTGTGGTTTCGATTCTCCTTTTGCACAAACAATGGCATTGCTTAAATCACCTTCAATCATCTTGTGGCCATCAAGATTTTTTTATTAACTTTAGAACTTCCTATAGAGTTCTTGCCTCAGTTTCATTCACTGTTGTGTTCTCATATGGCCTCGAATAGGTGTAGATGTAGTTACATATATGATCTCCAATGATTTCACTACAGTGCTTGGGTTCCCATACGAGCTCCCATCAAATTTTAATTTCACACAGTTTTAGGTGGAGGAGACCGATTTACTGTACTTGCTCATGTACAAATATTTAGCTTAATAACGTCAGTTGGGTTCTAAAAAATCTATGATTTGGTAACAAACTTGCCATCCTTTTGAATTGAAAACCATTATGAACATCAGATTGTGCACCTTCAAATGTTCTCTTATTTCTCTCTCGTCAAATGTTCCATAAGGTCCTAGCCCATAAAGCCACAATACAACTCCAATCTCTAACAACCCAGAATGCATCCATTGTTCAAGGATCAACTTTGTGGTATGTGGGATCAAGATGTGTAAATTCAGCATTCTCCTGCACCAGTCCCATAGATGTTGAGTAAAAGGGCAATGTAATAGAAGGTGGTCCACACATTCGTTCTCTCCGGCAGAGTCGACAAACATTAACTATTATTGTCCCCCTCTTCTGGAGGCTGTCTACAGTAGGCAACTTCTTTAGACATGCCACCTACAAGAATAATTGGATCTTTAATGGCACTATCAACTTTCAAACTTTGGCACACCAGACAGTCATCTTTGGCAGGTGCAACAGATCTTTATGGAGGTCCTATATGACCCAGTTAACCCTATCTTATAGAGAGCTTAGTTATGGTAAAGGTTTTTATACTTCTCCTACTGCATATAAAATAGATGCTTCTCCACCCATCCAGCTGCACAATTTAGACGAAGTGAGCCATTGACTGTTTGATCTATACATCTGACGTCTCAAAGTATTTAATTTAATTTTTTTTTATAAATTGTATGAATATGAAATTTGGTACATGTCATCATATCAGTGGGGTGCACCTAAAAAATATATTTTTGATAAAATATAATGATTAAAATACCCCTTGAAACTTTCAAAGGTATTTTGGTCATTTTATTCATTAATATTACTTTTATTTTTTTTTTATAGGTACGCTTTTAAGAGAAAAGTGGAGCCCAAAATTTGGTGTCAAAACAGTTAATAAAAAAATAAAAAATAAAAAAATATTGTAGAGATATGATATTGTGATTGGGGCCATCTCAACCATCCATTCATAATGGACAGTTGGATAAGGGGAAGAATATTAGTTTTAGGGAAAATTGCAAATACTCTCCTCCCAAATTGAACTTTCTTAGCAACCTCCTACCAACCAAATTTGTTTTCGTAACTTTTACCCTAAAATCTATTTTTCTTGCAAATACCCCCCAACTCAAAAGTCATAGTTATTTGGACCAAAACAACCTTGTCCATACAAGCTCGCATCACATCCCTGTAGTATATGCAATGACCAAAAGTTAACTGCCAGACCGCAGTAAAAAGCTGCTAGACCGGTACAATAAAGCCACTACCGGGCCCCAATGCGTAGCTGCCGGACCACGTGAACAATATGTCGGATCGCAGGAAACAACTACTAGACTGAGGTAAAACAGTGTCAGACAGATATAACTTTGTCTTGGACCGAGGTAAAATAACCGTCAGACCACGTTTCATATTTGTCAGACCGAGGGCACCTTATGCCTGATCACATGCATACTATGCCGGCAGAGAGTACAATGTAGGACTAGCAATTGGAAGTGCCAGACCGCCTTTCTTGTTGCCGGATAGGAAAGAGGAGAGAGAGGCGTTTTAATTAAAGACATGGCATTTTGGTATTTATTTAACTTTTTTTTTTTTTACTTGGGGGATATTTTATGAAAAAGTATGTTTTTAAGGTAAAAGTTGCGATAAAGAAGTTGGTTGGAAGGAGATTGTTAAGAAAGTTCAAATTGGAGGTATCCGCAATTTTCCCTATGTTTTATGCGCCTTTAGTTATTCCCACATTTGTCGTACATATATTAGCAGGTGGATCACAATATGAGAAAGAGGAGTTTACCCACTAAGGTTGAGAAAGATATTTTCTCTCAAACAGATTATTAGATGTATATAATATTTTTGGGGGAAAATCCCAACAGGAACGTGTCGTGGAGTTTTCTCCCTTCCCTTTTATCTTATTTGTAACGGCTTCATGGGGATGGTAGTTCATGAACCCATAATTCTGTTCGACTAGGTTGTTTGTTGACGAATGCTAATATCACACTTGGCCCCTCATTGGCCGGAATTAGGACCCATTTGGATTTGGATATGGATCTAAAATTTGGATCTGGGTGCATGTGGATTTGATCCAAATCTGGATCAAGATTCAACTCGATTTTTTTAAATAGGATATTTTTATTTTATATGTATACTTTTATATATATATATATATATATATATAGTAATCCGGATCCGGATCCGATGCATACTATTTGGATCCAACCAGATCCAGACCTGATCCAACCCGTTCTTACCCCTAAGTATCTAAACCTCAAGGTATATGTACATGAAAAAAAAAGGAAATTCATTTCAAGTCCTGAAGTAGTACATCGTATAACATATATTATTTTGACCGTCCATTTTAAATATTGTTCAATATTTATATATTTGTTTATTGACATCATTTATAGAGCTCTAAATTTTATTAAGGGTAGAAAAAAGATTTTTGGATCATATCTTGTTGCTCAGGACTTGAAAAGAGTCAGGTTGACCATAACCAACCCTAACTACCCCTGTCTACTGTAAGCTCTAAATTATATGAGTGGGGTTGGTTATTTGATGGTTTGAAGGGGCTAGAAGAACAATTGAAAAAGAATTTAAGAAAAATTATGTTAAAAAATGGCCATGTTTAAGAGAATTACGTTTTCGTCCCAAAGTTTGATAATTTACACAAGTACCCTTTTCGTGGTTTACTTTTATTCTAGTTTCGGCCCTAGTTTGATGTTGATCATATTTTATTTAGTTTTTATTTATTTTTATGATTTTTAGTGCATTTTGATGCTCCAAATATCAGACTAATCTATTTCTAGA